ACCTCTGCATTGTGTAAAAAGGTTGTTGGATCGTTTCTTCTCTTTTCCTCCCCTTATTCAAGTGACCACCTCTTATCTCTTTATAAGACAGACTGAACCATAGGCATTTTGCACATGCTCAGTTTGGTCTGTATTGCTAGAGAGTTTTTTATTCTTTGGAGAGTACATGTGATCAGCACAGGGCCAATCAGCACTGGTCAGACAGAGGTCAGGGGTTCTGCATCCTCCTACAGCAGAAAGAAAACTCCTCCTACAAGCTTTAGCTAGTACTTGGCTGAACACTGAGAGAAGCCACAAGACTGCTCTAACTGCTGATGAGAAAAGGTATGTAGAAGTTTATAGTTACTAAAATAATTGAATTTCCATGTTCTATGTACTGTGGGAGATCAGATATAGTGGATGCAGGGTCCTGGGTTTAGTAACACTTTAAGAGTGGGCACCCAGCTGTGACAGATTGCAATTTCACAGCCAGGTGCCCACTACGCATTTGCAAGTAGCGCTGAACCTTATGAATGGTCTTGCAGTCTTCTGGGACCTGTTACGTGCACCAAAAGACTGCGGGGGGGGGGGGGAGAGCACTTCCACCACTTCCACTCGCCTGTCAAAATTAGGTAACCCCCCCCCCCCCTGCTCCCCAAAGGTGCCAAGCCTTAATGGGGAGCAGGGACGAGGCCTTAAATTGGAAATTTCACTTTTGGGTGGAGCTCCACTTTAAGGCACGTACGGTAATGTGTCACACCATAACAGCAAAATGAGAATTGGCCCTCAATAAAGAAACTTTCTTTTTCATCTTTGTTTTCCAGATACACCAATATTTGTATTTGCTGCCACAGTGACTGTCAGACATGCATGGGTAATAAACTATAGCAGCAATTCGTGGATCCGCAATACTGTAAAAAGGTTCTATTCCAGTAACAAAGTATGATTGTACAAAAATGCAATTTCAGAGAGCCATCAGGAAACAGTTTAGAAGCCTTCTGATGTGATGATGATGATGGTGATAACGAGCATGGACTTGGTTCACTGTGTGGTCGGTGTGCTGACTTAGGCCAGAAATATGTATGATGTGAAAATAATTGTTCCTGTATGCCTGGCTGTGCTTTAGCTGTTGCCTGCACATATGCATGAGTCAGAGATTGGTTTTGTCATCTGGCAATGTGGAAAAGAATGCCAATACTGGAGCTGCTGGCACACCAACCACCACTGGCACTCCCTGTAGTCCTACAGCTAAAACTGTCTAAGATATAAAAAATGAGTGCGCTGTACACTAAATAATCATAAACAATAATCAATCAAATAAATACTGCTACATAAAAAAATGTACATACATTAATTGAAATGATATAAGTCCACATTCATATATTAAATAATTAAAAGTCCCAAAATCCAATAACACAGTGCAGTGTGCTAAAGAAATCCTCGAACAGAAAGTGCATAAGTGTCCACAAATGCTTTACACAAAAGAAAAAATCAGCCTCTTACCAGACACTTTGATCTCCAATCAAGAGATCAAATCAAATAAGCAGATGGTGTTCAGATCCCACACTGACACCCTAGTTAGCCATATCAAGGAGATGAATAGGAGATGAATGGACAACTGCAGGTTCACTTGAACGAATCCATCACATCAGATAGCTCTCCACATCATGCAAGGAAAGGTTTAAAACAGAAGAAGAAAACTTCATAGTGCGACCCAATAAACCAGCAAAGAATTTATTAAAGTATTGCACTTACATTTAAAATTCCCGCAGTGTCAGACCACCGGCCGGAACAAGGTGATGTCACAGCAAGCTCCGCCCAAAACTGTCTAAGAGCAAGAGGAAAAAGGAGCATTGCTCGTGTTCCACAGTTCCTCTGTCAATGAAGTGGACTTTTGTTGATATGTTGTTTTAGGTCAACCTCTATCTTTGTTGCTCCCCTTTGCCATCATTGAGACTTATGAACTGGTTCTTATGCCGTAGACTAGGGGTGTCCAACTGTCGGCCCTCCAGCTGTTGCGAAACTACAAGTCAGATCATGCCTCTGGCCTTCTGAGTCATGCTTGTAACTGTCAATCTTGCAATGCCTCATGGGGCTTATAGTTTGGCAACAGTTGGAGGGCCACCAGTTTGACACCCGTGACAAAGGAGTGGCTGCGGATAGTTGGACTTTGCAAAAGTGTTAGACACAGTTCCCCAAGGGAAAATGTCACCAAAACACAGAGGATCACCAATATGGGTCCACAAATTTTAATAAACGATCACATAGTTCAGCAAGGCAACGTTTCTGAGTCTTGCAGGACCCTTTCATCAGGCATGTGCGTTTGGATTGTACACTTGCATTTTAGACACAGTTCCCCAACACGACTAATGCATAGCTCCCAACTGTCCCTGATTTCGAGGGACTGTCCCTGATTTTGAGGGACTGTCCTTGATTTGGAACAAAGTCCTTCTGTCCCTCCTTCCTCCTCATTTGTCCCTCATTTTGGTCTGATCTATATAGTTGTATAAAAAATGCATTATTTATCTTTCAAAAAGTGTTTCCCAGTGCTAAACCTTTCATCAATTTTCTAAATTGCTGTATTTGTAAATTTCAAAACCCAGTATAAAAGAATAGCAGTGGTAAAAAAAAGCACTTGTGGGTTTAAGTAATCTATTTTTTTTTTTATTTTCTTTTAAAGGGATGTGGTAGTGGGGTGTGTCCTATGCCTAAATACTTTTGCTAATAGGTGTCCCTCGTTCCTATCTCAAAAGGTTGGGAGGTATGCTTAAGTGTAAGTTAAAGTCTACATTTAGTTTGTAAATGGATAGGAAATTGGCTATAAGACAGTATTCAGAGAGTTGTGATTGATAATTCATACTCTGAATGGTTTGAAAGGTTATTAGTGGTGTACCCCAGAGTTTAGTGTTGAGACCCCTACTTTTTAACTTATTTTTATAAGTGATATATAATTTGGGAATAAAAGTACCATTTCAGTCTTTGCAGATGACACCAAGCTGTGCAGTGGAATAACGTCCTTACAGGATGTCTCCAACTTACAAGCCGACCTCAATGCACTGTTTAATTGGGCAACTATGTGGCAAATGAGGTTTAATGTTAATAAATGTAATGGGGGGGGGGGGGGGCCACTAAGAATATGCATTCATCATACAGTACATACTAGGAAGAGTACAACTGGGGGAGTCAATGTTAGAGAAGGATCTGGGTGTTCTCCTAGATCAGCCTCTCTCAACCAGGCTGCCTTGAGGTTTCTTTAGGGGTGCCTTGGCAAAATGTCTAAAAGATGTCCAAAACTTATCTACAACCCAGCAGGTGGAATAAGCCTACCTTTTAGTTACACAAAGCCACAGGTTTTCATATAGTTGTGCACCATTACGACCTTCTAGGTGACAGCATTATCACAACAAATGACATCATCAGTTGATAAGGAGGATGTCAGCTGCTTGCACAGAATCCTAGTTTGACCCTCCCCTGCCCCTCTCCATCAGTGCTGGGGTCACATTAGCTCAGTGATGGAGAAAAACTGAGGGAGAAGAGAAACATGGGAATACTACTCAGTACCAGTGTGCAAAAGTGTATTTGCTTTTGAGGAATAAATCACCTCTAATGTTGGGTGTCATACATGTGTGGATGTTACTACATTATATAAAGCTATTAGAATGGGGTGCCCTTTTAAAATTATGGACAGTCTAGAGGCACCCCATTTTAGAATAATTTTAAAGGGTGCCTCGGGACTGTTCATAATTTTAAAGGGTGCCTTGACCTAAAAAAAAGATGAAAAAAAAGATGAAAAACACTGTCCTAGATCATAGACTTAAAGGGTAACTCCACTTTTGTGCCAAAAAAAATAGCAAATAAATATAAAATAGTATAGCATATACAATTGCAGCACAAATCATATTGTAATTGAATGTTATTAAAATGACCTTTTCTTTTCAATCTGCAATACTGTAATTGTCTTTAAAATGCAATGCAATATGGCCACCTGGAGGCATTCCAGGAAATGCCCCCCAGAAATGTCATTTCCTGCTTGTGTGATTGGTTTAATGATTTTCCCAGAGTTCTGCACTAAAATAAAAGTCAGATTTTTGGCATCCCCTGCAATAAAAATGTAGTTTTTGGTGAGATACTCCCAAAGGGAAATCACATCGCAGACCCTGCAACTTTCCTCATTAGAACCCTGCAAGTGCAGCAGCTCATTGATAATTATGAAGTCACTCCGATTCACATTCACTTTGCAAATGGACACAGGCAAACAGCTATTTCTCCGGAATAACAAAAGTTAAGTCCTTGCAATGTACATAGATCATCCAGAATGCTTTTTTTTTTTTCAACAAAAGTGTAGTTATAAGAGAGAGAAAGAGAGAGATCATTTTGCCTCTGTACAAATCATAAGTATAAGACTTGATATGGAATATACATTGGTGGTCTATATAGGGAATTTATTCACTTTCAGAGGACAAATGGGGCACTCTTTATGTCTGAAGAAAAGGAGATTTAATCTTTCTAGGCTTCTTCACAGTAAGAGCTGTGAATATATGGAATAGACTCCCTCAAGAACTAGTTCTAGCCAGATCAGAAGATGGTTTTAAAAAAAGAGCTGAATGCATTCCTAGATGCATAAAAATAACTGGATATTGACATTTATACTGTAGTTAATAAAACTAAGGATTGTTGAGCCAGGGAATATCCAACTACCTTCTGGGGGATCAGGAAAGAATTCGTTTTTTTTTTTCTGCACTGGAGCAAATTTGACCCAGTTTTATAGGGTTTTTTTTTGCATTCCTCTGGATCAGCTCTGGGTATAGAATTCTGTATATGAAATTTTTATTTGTTAAACTCTACTTATTTTTTTTTCTATTTGTTGAAATAGATGAAAATGTGTTCTTTTTCAACCTAACTATATACCGTATTTGTGGCTCCATAAGACGCACTTTTTTCCCCCCAAAAAAGGGGGAAAATGTCAGTGCGTCTTATGGAGCGAATATAAAGCGGCCGGTCTCCTGTACTGTGTCCGCAGTCTCTTAGTCATCTCCTGTACTGTGTCCGCAGTCTCTGGTCATCTCCTGTACTGTGTCCGCAGTCTCTGGTCATCTCCTGTACTATGTCCGCAGTCTCTGGTCATCCCCTGTACTGTGTCCGCAGTCTCTTAGTCATCTCCTGTACTGTGCCGCAGTCTCTGGTCATCCCCTGTACTGTGTCCGCAGTCTCTGGTCATCTCCTGTACTGTGTCCGCAGTCTCTGGTCATCTCCTGTACTGTGTCTGAAGTCTCTGGTCATCCCCTGTACTGTGTCCGCAGTCTCTCTGGTCATCTCCTTGTAGCATGTCTGCAGTCTCTGGTCATCTCCTGTACTGTGTCCGCAGTCTCTGGTCATCTCCTGTACTGTGTCCGCAGTCTCTGGTCATCTCCTGTACTGTGTCCGCAGTCTCTGGTCATCTCCTGTACTAGGTCTGCAGTCCATTGGTTCAGAATATTTTTTTTTCTTGTTTTTCGCCTCTAAAACCTAGGTGCGTCTTATGGTCAGGTGCGTCTTATGGAGCGAAAAATACGGTAGCTATTATCAGACCCACAGCCATATGCTTCATAGCTAATATTACAAAAGAAGCTGTTGCAGTGAGTGATCTTTAACCGCCTCCCCTCAGCCATATAGTATAATGACGGGAGCAAGGCGGTCCTCTCGTTCTGGAAAGATGTCATATGACATCCTCCCATTCTTACCGCATATGCCCAACTCCGGGAGCGAGCAGCGCGGCGATCGGGGGTCCACTGTGTACCTCGGACACAGCGGATCACCGATCATGGAAAGAGGCAAAGATGTCGGCTCGGTCATGTGATCAGCTGTATTCAATCACAGCTGATCACATGTAAATACGGAAATGCCGGTTATCGGCATTTCTCTCCTCACGAACTGTCACGTTGACAGCTCGAGAGGAGAGCCGGTAATCAACTTTACTGAGAGGGCACATATGCACTGATCATCAGGGCACTGATGATCAGTGTGCCCTGATGATCAGTGTAGCCCCAGCAGTGCCACCTGTCAGTGTCAATAAGTTTAGCCTATCAGTGTTCATCACTGCAGCCTCATTAGCGCACATCAGTGAAGGAAAATAATCACTTATTTACAAAATTTTATAACAAAAAAACTAAGAAAAAACATTTATTTTTTAAAAATTTTCAGTGGTTTTTGGTTTGTTTAGCAAAAAATAAAACCCAGAGGTGATTAAATACCACCAAAAGAAAGCTCTATCTGTCTCAAAAAATTATAGAAATTTCATATGGGTACAGTTTTTTGTTAACATATAAAAAAATAATTTTAACATATATTTTTACATATATTTGTAAATGCATTCCAAAAATGTAGATTTGTATTTTTAAAGACATACAGTATATTTGAAATGTATTTTTAAAAATATTTTTCAACATACAGTATATATATATATATATATATATATATATATATATATAGAATATTGCCAAAATTGTAGCATTTCAAATATATGTCAATATATTTGGGAAGAATATTTTTAAAATATATTTAAAATATATTTTTTTTCCACGTGGGTACATCTGGACTGGCTATAATAATCCCAGCATGTAAAAAAAACTGATTTGCATGACATAGAAGTAGGCCTGCTTCTAAAATAGTATTGGTAAAAAAGCACTTATGGGTTTAACTAATGTATTCTTTTTTTTACATTTTCCTTTAAGGGGGTATGGCAGTGGATGTGTCCTATGCCTAAATACTTTTCCTAATAGGTGTCCCTGGGCTTTTTTGACCAGAGAATAGATGCAGGAGCTCCCCTCTTCTGAGTCACCCCTTGTCTCCACCTCCTACCCACCTCCAAGCACTGTGCCTTGGTTCCACTCCTTACCCACCTCTCAATACTGCTCCTTTTAGTGAATACGGAGCCAGGTATTATTTTGTATGGAATTTGTTAATGATAACAAGAAAAGCAGTAAAATCCTCTGCAGCCAGAAACATTAGCAATAATAGATTCCCCCAGCAATAATAGTCCCCCCAGCAACAATGGACCACCATAACAAAATCCCACCCCAGCAACAATAGACTTCCAACAACAACAACAGATCTCCCATTAGCAAGGAACAATAGACCCCCTTCCTAAACAGTACTGTAGATCCATTCCGCCAACAATTGACCTCCCAGCAACAATAGATCCTTCTCCAACAACAATAGACCGCCACAGCAACAAAAAGTCCACCATGCAAAAATAGATCCCCTCCAGTGACATTAGAACCTCAGTAGCCAGCATCAATAGACCCTCCAACCTACCTTGCCATTACATACATTCAGTGCTAGAGGTGCCGTAACTGCTTTCCCCCTTGTTTTCGCTGAAAAAAAGCCTTGTTTACAGCCAACCATTAGGAGGTTTATTGCCAGTGGTGCATGCTTGGGAAATATTTGTTATGTTCTTCCAGAAAGGTCCTTTCCTCCAAGGATGTTGCCAGGAAAGGATTAATGCCCTCGGGCTAAACAAAATTTCTCAATAGTTCAAGGAAAGATTCACGTCTTTATATGAAGATTAAGCTGAACCCAAACAGTGTTCACCCATGTAGGTGTAACACTGTCAAATGCAAAAAAAACATGGATTGCATAATTCCAATTCAACAAGCCAAACAGACTTTTTTTTACAAAAACTTTGTGTGAAAAGGCCAGCATAGTCAACCCATATTCTGGTCAAACTATTCACTTACAGTGAAAGACAACCAAAAAGAGAAAGAAAATTACTCCTCTTCCTCTTTTTACCTCAAGGCATCTTTTGATAAAGTCCTGATGACGAAACGCGTCAATAAGTGACATCAGACACTGCCGGAAGTGTAGCGGTAGCCATTTTGGATGAGGTGCGGTCTTAGAATACACATTAGAAAGAGATCCGGTTTAAGAAACCGCTGATGATTATTCTGCATAAGTAAGCACTTTTTTATTAATAAAGTTGGTACGCGATGATTGCTTATTCTTTTTCTGGGTATATACTATCATTCTCGTTGGAGCATTGAAAGTCACAGCGTTTGAAGCAAGAGTCTATCTGATCAAAGCCTCTGTTCCCTGTCATTCTGGTAAGGTGCATGGATTGACAGGAGTTGGATCACTCGGCTGTTTCACTGTTTTGTGATCACTGGTGTGGAGTGTCAAAGCACTGATTCACATGATATGATGATTATGTGTTGATAATATTACACTATGTTTGATTTACAATTTTTGGAGGGTCTGGTCTTATTGGGAAGAATCTTTGAAGAAGGATCTCACTAGGCAACAATTTATATAAAGCAAGTTATTCATCCATTGATGGTAAGAGTAGGCATTTACGGTCACTGCATGGGCACTTGGTTATTTGGGGCACATTTTGAACACTATGATATGAGCGCGCTATTATAATTTTATTGCGTTATGTTTTGAGGATAATGTGTAGTTTATCTCCTTGAGGTAAAAAGAGGAAGAGGAGGAATTTTTTTGAAGAATACTGAGAATACTAAGAAGCACGAAGATGTCACAAGTTTACATGGGAATATATTGAGACTTTGCTGGACGCTATTGTAGACATTTTGATTTTGGACTTCCTGGGTGGAAGGGTTATCGTGGTGGCCAAGGGTGCACTGTTGATAATGACTATTTATTATAGGAGAGTGTGTGGTTTATTTACACAAAAAAGAGAAAGACATTAACTCTAAAAGAGTTCTCCTCTCCATTCTGCTATTTCCTCCCTCATGTTGTTTATACCAAAGTGTATTGTTCCAAATGTAAGTAATGCAGAAGCCCAACCAGTTAGAACACAAAACAAGAGACAACGATAAGGACTTTCTGGTTCCAAACATAATCACACAAAAGGTAGACACAAACCCTGATAAAATTCAACACATTTTATTCAACAACATGATTAAAATTCCATAAAAACATAGCAAGTATGCTACTGTGTATAAAGTGCCGAACCAGTTCCTAACAAAGGTCCTTCTAAGCCTTAACTGAGCCCAACATTACTTTCCAAGCCTTTGATTTAAATTTAAAAAAAAAATTAATTTAAAGATCAGAACCCCTTAACTAGTTTCCATCAAAATCTCTCATTTTCCAAGGAAACTGGCAATATAATGTCTACTAAATGATGTTTTATTTGAATAGTTATTGGGCGTATTCCTTACTTGAATTTATGGTTAGGTGTTCTAACATTTGTGGATTAAGCAATTTACATGGTAAATGTTTGCTGATTGTTGACATGCAAATTGTCATGAATTTTGACTTTGAATAGAGAGAGCACTGTGAATATATATGCTACTTATACCTGTAAAAATGCAGCATTTGTAAGGCAAATACAGCAGAAAATAAGCATATATTTCCCCAAAGATGGTCACTTTTCAATATGTCTTTGAATGTTATGTTTTTCAGGTCACAAGATCATCATACCACACATGGGAACCCCTGGAACTTCCTAGAACATCTATGTAACTGACCCCAGAGACCCACGATTGGGTATCTCCGTCAAGAAGCTGCTTCTCAGGCTCTGGAACACGAGACCAGTGAATCTGGCTATTGTTACCCAGATGACACCAGATTTGAAGTAAGAGGTAGACCACTTTATTTGAACACAGATACAAGATATATACACTCATAGGACAATCCCCCCTCCCTGCATAATGACACAGGGTGGGGCAATCTACATTTAATAACAAGAGACACACAAGTATTCAGACTTCACATCAGCAGACAGTCCCATCAGGAGGGAGGGTTGCTGGATACACCCCCCCCCAAAAAGCTAATACACATAAACACATACATCCCATAATAGTTTGCTCCCAAGCCAGACACACAATAGAACAATGGGATGCAGTCACGTGACATTAAACAATCAACAACCCCCCACCTATCTCCTAAACATGTCTACACAGTCTGAGACAAAGCCCACATCAATATTAGGACAGACCACCCTGTACCCCTAACAGGCACAGGGTGATTTACACATAAGAGGGATATTGGGAGCTGAGACAGGGGTCTCCCCACCTCTTCAAAGTCAGCTGGGTTCCATGGGCCCCCCACCCAAATTGACTCCAGTCACAATCTACAAAGTACTTCTAAATGGTTAATACTAGTATAGACTATATGGCAGAGGTATCATATTCCATGCCTGGAGCATCAGACACATTTATCTAAAAACTGTGACATTTGTTCTCTCTGGTTATTAACCCTCCTGATGAACCACAACTTGACGTATTCAACCCTGTTAATTTTTCTTATGTTTTTGTACCTCTAAGGGTTTATTACTCAATTATGTACCATATATTACTTTGAAAAATCTTTAATAAACAATGATTACACTTAAAAACTATGACATTTGGAAGAACATTCAAAGAAACATTTAAAATGTGCTAGCTATTTCCTTCCATCATTGCCTGACCTTTATCACAAACGCAGTGCCCAGCAA